AAGGAGTGGGTAGGGCAAGAATTTTTTCCCCTTATGGCCATCGCATATTGGAAATTTATTGAAAAATGATGCTGATGCATCGTTGAATAAAAATGTAAAAAAAAAAGTATTGACAGGCGAAACTTACAGGGAATTCTTTTTGGTTCCACGAAAATAAGTTTAGCAGTCAATGGGGCCAGCCTAAAGCATTTGTTCACACTGAGAAACCAAACCAAAGACACCTTCAGCAGAGTGGTAACGTTAGACGATATGTAATCTTGATTTTTAACGCCTCTAAAAAGTCATGCTTTTATGTACGGATATCTTACTGTTAGACTGACAAGTGTTAAATTGATATATTGTTGGTTGGGGAGATCCTTTTACATTCAGTGGTTGGATCGTCAACTTTTTTTGCAGATATTTTGTTGTTGTTAATGTTTTTGTTGCTGCAGAAACTGAAACCATTATTTTGCTTTTTTCGATGTATTAATAAAATCACTGGCCAAGGCAGTGATCAGTCACGGTAGACATTGTTCGTCCAATATATAACTATCATATAGTTTTCAGTGGTGTCTTTTTTTTTTTGCTTTTGTCAGTCGTACCACATATTAAGCTCTTCTACTTTTGACAGTATCGTACGGTCATCATATTTAGTATTTGAAAATCGTTTCTCAGGCTCATTTTTGGCATTTAGACTTTAAATGTCTGGCAATGTTGTCCATTTGATTGTTGGGACATCGATCCATTCATCTCCGTTACCTTCATCGCTTTGTTGTTGATTTCTTAATCAGTTTCTTTCAACTGTTGTGTGATAGCCAACAGATTTTGAAGTGAACAGTCGGCGCAACTTCTAATTTTGTTTCTTCTTCCTTTTAAATTCTTTTTTGTATAAATAAACTATTTTAAAGAGTGCGAACAAGAAGAAAAAAACAAGGAATTTTCTTTTTCTTTTTTCTTTCTTTTTTTGTAGAAATCTAATTTGAGTGTATCGATGTGATTTTCTTTTGAAGCATTTCCTTGCTACTTTCTGACAATTTTTATCTTTTCTTTTTTTTTTTAAATTTGATTTCAACTTGTAAACTTTAAATTGTTTGACGACACGAAAGAAGGTAAAAGTTGTGTGAAATTTTTTTCTCTTACTTTATTGTTGTTTTTCTTCTTTTTTCATTCGTTCAACAAAAGTTTGTTTAACACATTATTTAGTTGTAACTCAAACTTCAGCTGAAAGAGAAATCAATTTCATAGCTGCTGTAGCCATCATAACTTTCGGTTTTTGTTGTGAATGCTGTTTGAAGACCGATAGGGAGAACAGAATTGGAGGTTGCTGACAGTTGCTAACAGTAAAGATTGTACATTCAAGCAAAAATTTCTCATAACAAATCATACAGTTTTAGGGTTGTGGGAAGTTTTCAAATTCAAAAAAAAAAAAAAAGCTTTCAGAAAAATCTTTACATGGTCAGATTTTGGTCGTTCATAATGTTAAAAAAAGCTGTGGATTTAAATGGCCGTATCTCCTAAAACTATGTATCAGCGACATTTGTAAACGGCGATTTCTACAATTTTCATTTTCAGCTTAGGAAACCTACTAACAAGGCTGTCAGGAAACTCAAGTTCCATCGTTCCTGTCATCTTCCTATTAACGACAACTTCATTGATTTCCAGAAAAAAAAA